AACCCTCGCATGATATCCACACCATCGCCATGGGACTGGAGTTCTGGCCACCGCTGCCTTCTCCGCCTTCATTGCCACACGGCCCTTCGCTGCAGCAGCCACGGCTGCAGCGGCATAGCCCAAGCTGGCACCAGCCATGAGGGAGGTCCACGGGGAGGTAGTCTCAGCGGTTTCCTGAAACGGTGACTATACACATGGAACAAAGCAGTAATTCCAAGATTGCTAAAGCTTTTGAAGCAACACCAGCCAGCACCACCCTTCTTTAAGTGGCACGAAATAACGTTGGTGATGGATGCCGGCCTTTAGTCCCTACCGCCAGTTCATTGAGTCACTGGATCCAGAAATCATGATAAACCTTGCGGCACCTTGCGCAAAGTGCTTCAACCAGGGTTCCGGTGCATAGCTTGCCAAAGGACGCGCCAGCTCACTCTGAACTTCGGGACGAGCACTCGCGGGTGCCACGAAGGCGGAGACTGGGGCAAGGAGTGCGAGCAAGGCAAGGACACGCATGGCAAAAAGCACTGGACAGCGATAAGCAGCCGAATCTTTGTCTGGGGCTTTGGGCACTGTCACTGGAGCCAAACGACGCAATAAACATGTAAGAGCTCTGTCTGGCAAAGCCAACTGAGTATTTCAATGAGTCCTGATGGCATTGATGAAAACTGACACAAGAACTATGTAATCAGGGATAACCAAGGGCCTCCTCAACGCTCATTGCTAAACTTTTCAGGTCTGTCCACAAAAATCAATTGAAACTGAAACATGAATAACAAGGGACTGAACGTAGACTCTGCGATGCTCATTCTTTTTCACTGCCCCGTTCGGCACCAAAAATCCTGTGGCCACCGCTGCGCTCAGCGCTGGATGAACTGCATGGAGCTAATCGCGCCAAGGAAAAAGACGGTGGGGATCACCAAAGCGTGGACGGCCAGCCAGCGGAAGGTGAAAATGGGGTAGGCCACCTCAGTCGGTGTTCATCTACCGACTGCACATCCAATCATGATTTGAATCACCTGAGGTTCTTGATTCATTGCATTTGAACATCATTGCATCATATTGCATCCAGAAACAGTGCTAATTACTAGTCACTAGATGTCACTAGTCAGCTCAGCCAACCCTCGCATGATCTCCACACCATCGCCATGGCACTGGAGTTCTGGCCACCGCTGCCTTCTCCGCCTTCATTGCCACACGGCCCTTCGCTGCGGCAGCCACAGCTGCAGCGGCATAGCCCAAGCTGGCACCAGCCATGAGGGAGGTCCACGAAGAGGTAGTCTCAGCGGTTTCCTGAAACGGCGACTATACACATGGAACAAAGCAGTAGTTCCGAAATTGCCAAGGCTTTTGAAGCAACACCAGCCAGCACCAACCCCCTTTAAGTGGCACGAAATAACGTTGGTGATGGATGCCGGCCTGTAGTCCCTACCGTCAGTTCATTGAGTCACTGGATCAAGAAATCATGATAAACCTTGTGGCCCCTTGCGCAAATTGCTTCAACCAGGGTTCCGGTGCATAGCTTGCCAAAGGACGCGCCAGCTCACTCTGAACTTCGGGACGAGCACTCGCGGGTGCCACGAAGGCGGAGACTGGGGCAAGGAGTGCGAGCAAGGCAAGGACACGCATGGCAAAAAGCACTGGACAGCGATAAGCGGCCGAATCTTGGTCTGGGGCTTTGGGCAGTGTCACTGGAGCCAAACGACGCAATAAACATATAAGAGCTCTGTCTGGCAAAGCCAACTGAGTGTTTCCATGAGTCCTGATGGCATTGATGAAAACTGACACAAGAACTTTGTAACAAGGGATAACCAAGGGCCTCCTCAACGCTCATTGCTAAACATTTCAGGTCTGTCCACAAAAATCAACTGAAACATGCATAACAAGGGACTGAACGTACTCACTCCTTTTCACTGCCCCGTTC